CCGCACAAGCCTTTCTCTTACCGTTGGCAATCGATAGTCAGCCGTGACTTGCTCAAAGACCGTTCTGTGGTACACGGGCAAATAGCATATTCCAACAATACGGGAACATTTTCCATTGTCAGAGTAACTCCTATTGGTCATACAGTATTTGCCTTGTGATGTTTATATTTGCAGAAAAATAAACTAAGAGAAAAACAGTGGCTTTCTGTTACTTAAGAGGTGAACCAAAACAGGAATCCTTCCTTCTTTCCCGTGTCATCATAAGTGACAGATTGTTGAGTTTGTGTAATTCTTACACTAAAACATGAGCAGACCCTCATGTAAGTGGGAAGGAACTAAAGCCGATAAGTCTTCGTCACTTTCAACAGCACCAGCTTTCATCAGTCTTGCTGTCCTTTGAGAAGTGAATAGAAAGTGAATGGCTGAACACTCAGCATTATTCAGCAGTCATTTCAGGTAGCAAGTTACACATACTGTGCTTTGAAAGGGGTCCTCTGCGTTTGGGTACAGATCTTTAGAAGCATTCGTGTTTAATGCTTACTGTACAATAACTACATGAGGCATTTTAATGACATGGAATCTAAGAGATCTCCCTCTACTAATTTTCTGGTCAGCGACCTCATTTTTTTCTAGTAATGAAGTCAGATTAGGACTTCGAGTGTAAAATTTTCTAAGAGTACCTCTGGAATCACTTTTGGTCGACTTGAATAGTTTGGTTCTCTCTCTCATTAGGACTTAGCACATTGTGTTTCTCCAGTGTTTTAAGTATGTCGAGTGGTAAATAGCTACTAATGAAAGCTCTAGGAGATTTTGACATATTCTTTCCGAAAATTGGTATATTACAATTTCCTTTTCCAGCTTATTTTGTTGTTTACCTACCTTAGCTACTAATGGATACAGTGTACTAATCATGTGTATCTTTACATAATCTATAGTGTACATAATCTATAGTGTATCTTTAAGTTATGGGGTCCTCACATCAGGTATTTGTATGCTCGGTAGACACAAACAATACAAAATTTTGGTTCTGGATTGAATTTCGTTTTGCTTCAAGCTCCACAGGAGACCGTTGAAAATGCAATGCCATCTTCTCTTTTATTTACATTTTAATTTTTATTGCTTTAGGTACTCAAGGAGTTGCACCTGGTCCTGTAATCGGGCTCCAGGCACCGTCTACTGGCCTCCTTGGAGCCCGACCTGGCCTGATCCCACTCCAGCCAGGAATGC